GAAGGCGACCGAAGGAAGCCAGGCAGAGTGCGAGCAGGGTTTCGAGCTCAGCGTCAGCATCTCACCGGGAGACCTCCGGAGCTGCAGGCCGGTGAGTCCGTGCGGGGGGCACCCGCAGCGCTACCAGGGACGCCGCCCAGCCTGCCGGCCCCATGCGCCCCTGCTTCCTGCCCCCCTGGACCCGAGGGTGCGGGGGGCAGGGCAGGGGTCGCGGGACTTTTAAGGATGAAGGCCCCAGCCAGGCTCCCAGCGCCCTGGCAGGCTGCTGCCTTCTGTCGGGGGAGGGATGCCCCGACACGGGCGCGCGAACCCAGGAGCTTTTGGGGTCGGTCGGCGGGGTGGGGAGGGGAGGGACGGGGTGGAGACTCCAGCTCCCTAATTCTCGCCCTCCCTCGCGCAGGCACACCATGGGGCTCCCCGACCTGAGGCCCTGGGCCTCCCTGCTGCTGGCGGACTGGGCTCTGCTCCGGCTGCTCCAGGGCACCCTGGACGCTCTGCTCCCCGGGGGGCTTCTGGGCCAGTGGCTGGAGGGGACCCTGCGGCTTGGAGGGCTGTGGTGTCTGCTGAAGCTGGGGGGACTGCTGGCACCGGCGGGGACACTGCTGCCCGCGCTCTGCCTGGCGCCCCCTCTGTTCCTCTCCCTGAGGGCGCTGAGCCCAGGGGCCTTGAGCGCGCCCCCAGCCAGCGTGGCTGCAGCCCCGTGGAGCTGGCTGCTGGCGGGGTACGGGGCTGCGGCGCTCAGCTGGGCGGTGTGGGCAGTGCTCAGCCCCCCCGGAGCTCCGGAGAGGGAGCAGGGCCAGGGGAAAAGCCAAGCCCTGATGTGGCGGCTGCTGAAGCTCTCTAGGCCGGACCTGCCCTTCCTCGCCGCTGCCTTCTTCTTCCTCGTGGTGGCCGTGCTGGGTGAGTCAGGCAGGCTCTGGGGGTTGGCGGTGGGAAAGGCCCTGGCCCCTGCGCCGTCCTGACTGATCCTGCCTGGTTCCAGGGGAGATGTTAATCCCGTATTACTCTGGCCGTGTGATCGACATCCTGGGAGGCGATTTTGACCCCGAAGCCTTCGCCAGCGCCATCTTTTTCATGTGTCTTTTCTCCTTTGGGAGGTAGGTGATGGACGACGGTCCATGTGCTAGGCCCCAACAGGGCCCCTCGCAGTCCTAACTGGCACTTACTCAAACTGAAGCATGTGTGCGCCTTCTTACCCGCCGTTCTATTTCACGCGTCCGTTCATTCCTGCATCCCGCCATTCTTCCACCATCTTCAAAGCTTATATTACATTATCACAGCACAAAGACAGCGCATGTGGTACACAATGCAGTGTCTCAGTGGCCCCTCAACACTTTCATCTCATTAAATTCTTCTTCTCCTTTGTCTTCTCCCTCCCACCTCAAGTTTGTTTCCCAAGTTACCCTCTTGTCAGGGCGGGCGTTTCTCCCTGACCCTTCCCCACTCGCCTCTGAAGATCTTACCCTGCCCCTTGTCACTCTTCTTTCTATTTCCCACTTCATTGCTTTCCCCTCTCTTGTTAGACATACCCAGGAGTCTGCTGTCAGCCACCTACCTACCTACCTACCTACCTACCTACCTAGGGCGGGACTAGGATGGGTAGGATGAGGTGGGTGAGGCACCGAGGGCACACTCTCCTCACCCTCGTACCTGGTAGCCCAGAAACCACTTCTTCATATGTCTTCACTCCATTCTTGCTTCTTTTTGCTGAAACCGATTTCTTAAAAGTGGTGTGTGTTTTTTTAAAATCAAACTTAAAAAAAATCGGTTATCAATTCTCTTTGCTTCTGTAGCACTTGGCATTAACAATCTCTCATTATTGATCTCTTTCTCGAGTTAGCTTTTATGAACTCTCTTTCCCCTTCCAGGCCACTCTGGAGACGTCCCTCCTCTGGACCCTTAAGTATGAACTTTCCTCCTCACTCAGGCCTTTGATCTTTAAGAACATTTTCCCCACTGAGCTGACTCAGTTCATCTCTGTAGGTGTCCCCAAGATCCGTGTTTCCGTGTCCAGTTCCAGCCGTGTAATCCAGTTGCCCCCTCGACCTTTGGCGTGGATAGCCCACTCTCATCTCACACTCCACATACCCGGGACTCCAGATACCTCACCCTCCCTCTGGGTCTTGTTCCCCTTCCTGAAAGCATCAGTCCCCTGGGCTCCAGCATCAGCGTCAGGGATGCCTTCCTTGTGTTCAGAACTAGCCATGTCGTTTCTGCTTTCACAGTGTTTCTCCTGTGGCTCTTTTCTCTCTGTCTCACTGCGATCATAGTCCAACCCTCATCATTTGTGATTGACAGCCTCCC